TAATAATAAGAAATGAGTTTTCAAAATTAATGGGAGGAAAGTATGAACGGGAGGGATCAAGCTTTCCTCTTTCATGTGCCCATAGTAATAACTCCATCACAATTACATTCCGTAGAACTTTTCAAACTGTCAAAGCTGATGTCCAGATTGTTTCTAACGTCGTCGAACGAAGACGTTGGTTTTCTTGCTTCTTCTCTTAGCAGTGACGGTGAGTTCCGAAGTCCAAGAGGGTCGCCCGTGTTAGAAGAGAAGGGCCTAGTTGGGGTAGATCTCATACACCCATCTTCGAGCACTCACATGCACAGTAACAACTTCTTTCAGGTGATGGGGCTGTATCTAGCAGAAGATGTTCAGCTGGAGAAGGGTATTCTGTTCAAAGCGTTGGCATGCCACAAGGATGTTACAGCTCTAAAAGAGTAAGTTTTTTCGTGATTCTTGTATTTGAGCAGGCGTCCTGAAGCTCTTATCCAGCCTTTGTTCTTTTTGAATGAACAGCCAATCATATCTTGAAGTACAGGTCCATCTCTTACTAATATGTTCTTTCTTTCTACCTTCCCCGCCACTATGAATTAAAGTCCTTATCTTTTTTTTTTGATTATAAAGCGATTGTAGGCTTTTGATAGATATATTCATGACTGATCTGTCTGAATAACCGTCTTTGATCCATTTTATTATTATTTGTATATTTTATTATTATTTTATCCTTTTTATTATTTCAGACTTCTATTGCGAGCATTGGATCGTAAATCGTCGTTTGTACGTCTTCAGGATGTCCCTACCGCTTTCCGTGCTGTTTCTGAAAACCCCGTAGGCGAGGAATTCATGTTCAATTTCCTGATGGAAAGATGGGAGGAAATCACTGCGAGGTATTTTGATTGACCCATGCTTAAGCTATGTGCCCAATTGGGAAATGGGTCGCATTTTTTTAGGTTCTAATGTTCTCCTTTGCCATCAACTTTATTAGGTAAAGATTTTGTGAGATTTTTAAGAATTGGGCCTAGCCTTTGTCCAAATGCTTTTTTCCGTGAAGGGGTTGTTTCTACCTTCCTGGTCTCAAGCTTGTTTTTTTCTTTCTTTCGACTCTTTGCTCTCGAAACCTCTCAAACTCTCCCCATTTTTGGGACCCGGAATCCTTAACTATAACGACTGGACTGCGCAGCATGGCATTCTTCAAGGCTTCTTTTGAGAATGTACCTTTATGAAGATTCCTTTCTTTCTTTCTTCAAACCTCTTTCCTTTCCCCGTACTTGAAAACGTCCTATTGGCAACTTAATTCCTTTCCTCTTCGAAATTCTTTGCTTGGTCACTGCGTTCCATTGACAACTCCGAATTGTGAAGCCGTTCTCTGTTTCAGCTTGGAAACAGAGCACAGAGCAGTTGATAAAGTGGTTGGCGCTTGTTGTACAGGAATTCGTTCTCAGCAACAAATAGATCAGGTCTGACCCTTTTTTATTGCTTTGATATCTGAAGTACAAGATCTTTGTGCAATGGTAGGATACAGGAATTGCATTTCTGCATTGAAAGGATACGTTATAATGAGTTAATTAGTGAAAATAACCTATACACACAAGCCGAACGAGTTCTCCCAGCGTTGTAGAGGCTGTAGAAGTTGCACCATTCGCACCGGGAGATATACGCTGTACACAGGTAGCTGTATTGTAGCCAGCTGAACGCAAAGGCAAACACACTCGGACAGCAATCGAAGCACATCTACGCAGCTTTTGGAGTGTGATACCTTCTCCCCGAAAATCACGTCGCTTTCGCCGCACTCTCTTCAACCACTGCCGTCTACCGTGGGAACTAGGGTAGAAGTACCGCCACCCCCGTTTTTGCACTCATTTGGGGTATCGCTACCATTACTCGTCTTAAACTAGACGCCCCAAAGTGTCCTAAACTGTTCCTTAGAACCTTGAATTATTACTGTAAGAAAAACTGAATCCCATTAACAACGGAAGCCGATTCTTCCTATCAGATACCACATCACAACCATAAACAGAGAGTCGAATATCAGACCACCATTCACGAACTTAGTTGTCTAGAAAACAAGTCGAATTTCAAATCTACAGGCAATGTAAGATGTTTGATTTTCAGCTGAAGAATCTACAGAAGAACAATGCGCAGGCTAAGAAATTCGGCTCATTTACCCAGGAAATCGAAAAAGGAGAACATAAAATTGCCTGGATCAAGAAACATCTTCACAGATTATCGGAATTCTTCAAGAAAGCGAGATCATAGCTTTTCACCCTGAGCTCCTATTTTAACATCTTCAAGCTAGGAGACAGTTTTGATAAAAAGTCGATTCCACATTTTCCGTTTGAGGGCTATCCATTCGAACACAACCAACCCATTTTAACTACCTTTCATCACAGTGATTACTAAATATCGAATATATTATGAAGCTTGTATCTTGGACGTTATGATCGGTGACTTTATCACTTCATAGAGCTCACTCTCCGTTTTGTAGCTGTGATAATTTGCATGTAAAGCCCGTCTTTTACCAGCCTAGAATCTTTCCCCCATACATTCCAAACTCTGAACACCTCCACTGCTGACAATGCCCCGATTTCTTTTTTTTTGTCTGCTATCCATCTAATTGTTTCGATCGCCGGTTGTTTGTCAATTGCTTATCTGATAAATATTGATGTTGGTGAGACTTGTCAGTCGAGAGCGTAGCTCAATTTGTCCGTTTCTGCGTTGTGGAATCCGTCAAGATTGAATTCCATCCAAAATGTAACCAGGGTTGGATTTAGTCCCGGCAATCGTTGTCTGCTACTTACCGTAGCAATAGGTGAAGAGCATTCGGATGCTGCTGTCAGAATCCTCATGATGGAAGTTATCCATACCGCTTCCAACTTTTACACTTTGTTTTCACTGAAAGATTTGGAGAGAGATGTAGAAATAGTACTGACTCATTAAGGGATCGCGTTCAGATCTAACGGAGCAGCGCTAGTGTGCACATGTACTCCATATGTTTAGAAATTGATCCTAGCTTTTTGTTGAACGAAAGAAAAAAATTCAAGTTGAGTAAATGTAGAATTTGTTAAGTGAAAAAGTTCAGAGTAGCAGTAGGCTAGCCCTTGCTCCTCTGTTCAAATGGAACACATCATAAAACACCATATCGGACAGACATCTTGAAATCCGAAGGTACTCTAGGAGGGGTCTTCGAAATTTTGCCCAAGAGCTGTCGGTGTGCACTGTTGGTGTGGCACTATTTTTATTTTTATAAAAGAGCTTGTCGGAGTTTCTTCAGGGAGGAGCCCTTGCTCTTCTTTCAAACCCTCTGAAGATGTATTTGATATGAAAATGCGCCTTTTGAGAACTGATATGTCCCTGTTGCAGCTCCGATGATTTCTCACCGTACAGATTGGGGGCCGAAAGAGTCAGCACGCAGCCCCCTTACACTTTTTTGGAGGTTTATATTTTTTGATACAGCAACTCCGGACTCAGAAACCTTGTAAAGTCACCAAAGCTGGATTTACTAACCGGATGTAACCGATCAAAGCTATGGACCTAGGGAATGCCCATTGTTCCATTCTCTTAGACGGAAGCTCTCAACTACCAGCCCATTTGTTAGGGTCATGCGCCTTTCAGAAGTTCAGCGATTATGGGTCACATCAATGACATCAGTCTTAAGCAGTTGTGAACTGATATCGCATAGTTATCAAACCTGTTCATCATGCTGGCGATTCGCCGAATAAATACAATGCGGGAACGTCCGCTATAAAAGAGATCAACGTCATTCTCTGTTCTCTATCACGAATTATTTGGACCGTTTATTCTTTCTTTCCTCTATTTTTATGTGTATTTACTCACTCAAACCGTTTTTCAGATGAAAACTATTTTAACTACTATTCTACTGCTAAGCCTTGCTTTAATGGTCTCTGGGCAAAGATGTGAGTAATGATTTCCTTTCCTGGGGGTTAATTGAGGATATCGCAGCTCATTATGAGCAGCTATCAGTTTTCGCGATGAATCGACTCTTATTTTCTGGGCTAGCTCATCTTAAAAGTTTTTAGGGGGACGATGGAAATGGTCATCGTCGTCATTCTCCCATGAACACTGGCATCGACGGCCATTTTGGCGTCCAGGATGGGGAGGTGGATGGGGACGTCCTGGATGGGGAGGTGGATGGGGAGGAGGATGGCCAGGCTATCGTCATGGTTTCCTCGGACCAGGATATTTCCCATATCGAGCTTATGGAGGTGAGTCGATTTGAACACCTCATCTTTGTAATACGTATTCAGTTGTTATCGAACACGTTATTTCAGGCTGGGGGAAGTAAACGATCTGCCCAAACGGATATGTAACTATTCTGTAAATATATTTTCAATGAATGACATGCAGAAATTTTTATTTTTGCGAATTGTAATAAATAAATGATTTTATATTGCCGGCGAGAGACATAGTTGTCATGGGAAAGTCGAACTCAGTACGAGTAGTACAGTATCCAATTCACCCAGTCTCATTTGAGGAGCATGTAAGGATAGTTTCCTAGTCTATTCCCATAATGGTATTCATGTGGTTTCTTCAGATTTTCTCGAAACCGATACATTCTTCGATAGTGGAAGCACTATCGGGCCTGAAGGGATAAGGACTTCAATTCAATTTTAATATGTTCGTAATCTTAGATAAAGGTAGACGCTAAGTGGATGTAAGCGCGAAGTTACGCTTCTCTCTCCTCTACGTCGGTGCTGACTCGAATCGTTAAGACCAGTAGATGCTCATCTATGTAGTTCGAGAGAAAAACATTCACCATTATATTGGGAAGCCTCGTCGCCTCGTCTGAGCTGGACACGCATTCAATCACTTTGTGGCTTCAAAAGAGCGGCGGTTGCATGGCGCGATCCATGTTCTTTAAATAGCATCTAGAACTACTTTTTTGCACAGGATGGGTGGATGCTCCCTCCTGCTCGGTCCTCTCTGCCCAAACTACGTAGTCATATTAGAAACCTGAACATGACCCGAAACTATATACTCCGTTAATCACCGTTATGGAAACAGACCCACGTAACTGAGTGTTCCTTCAGAGCCATATATTATCAAACATGAAGATAGATCCAATGAAGTTTTTCCTGGATGTATAGATGAGGCTGACTTCTCTTGATCGATGCCAAACTCTTTCAAGAACTCTTTTATTCAAAATATAACGTTAAGCAAATATACAGTATGGGTGAGTATCGTTTNTTTGAAAATGCTTTCAACAATTGAATGTTGAACAGCAAACTTTCTGTCCATATCTGTACGAATACACGCAATTCGGTGTATCAACCCACAGACATTGATCCTCCTTGAAACACTGTAGCGGTGATGTAGTTCCCGGGTACATTCGTACCTTACCTAAAAATCGGGATTCAGAGTGTATGGTTCAAAGATTGAGTAAAAAGTACAAGCTGAGCAGAGTTCGTTACTTCCAAGAGCTCGAAAGAATGCCCATCTGAAGGGTAAGCAGTTTCATCGTATTATTGGATGCTTTAAAAATAGTAGTCTCTACAGAACCTTCTTCGAAGGAAGCTTTATTCATAGCCATGGAACTTAGACTTTATAAGGAATTGGATCTTGCTTATGGAAACCGTACTACCGAAAATGATGCAGCAGTTGTTAGGTATCACTTGTCTCGTAATGTTACCTGGTGGGAAACCTCACCCGAACCACCCCACAAATCTACAGAAGTTGTAAAAAGAAAAAGTATGTGGGTGAAGAAGACGTATGAGATAGAAGATGACAGATGGAGAATGATAATCACTGATCGGAAGCACTGATCAGCAGGACTTTTTAAGTGATCATCCGTGAATTGGATCAGACTGGCTGCCAATCATTATGTTACATGAGTAAGTAGCACCTCAGGTTCTATTGAAGTAATGCTTTCCGAACGGGCTTTCTGTGAAGCTCGTCTTGAAGGGAAACAGATAAAGTATTTGGCTTTTAGAAAAATTGCCTTTGCATTCGCTCTTTCACTTCTCTTCTTGAAATCCATTCTGAATTCTAGTCGCGGATCGAAACTGCAGCTTATACAGGGTCATTCAGTGCTTTTATCAATCTCCCCCATCGCAGCCGAGTCCAACTCTAATCAATGGGCTCTGGGAATGTAAAGCTCGGTTGACTGAATTATGCATTGAACAGGGTCTCGAACAACGGACGACGTTTGATTGCACTCCACTTCCCACTGCACCACCTCGTCCTAGACGTGAACCTCGACGTAACTGCCGTAATTAGCCTTTTCCGGTCTAATGCAAGGTTGTCCTTCCTACTGTAATCATGTATGGGGACCACCTTCTGCTCCTCTGATCGTTTGCTAAGGCTAGTTGCCAAGAATCAACGAAACCATGGCGAGAGTTCTTTTTCGTCTTGCGTGCCTGCGGTTTCGAGCTCTACTACGGATAAAGACAGGATCAAAACCTATGTAGATGCCGAGGGGACGTTTGATCGGATATTAGACTACAGATATAATAGTACTGAAGTACCGAAAGTAATGCTTAATGATACCTATACATAGCTTCTTGAGAACTTCAAGAAAACAACTCTGTTGCTTACTATTTATTGTTTACTGTCTAGTTACTACATTTGTTACTACCATTGAAATTGATGGCACCCCTTTCAGTTTCCCATTTCTGTTTTGGAAAATAGGTAAACAGAGCCTCAAACAGGACACAGCAATAACATCGGGAGGAGTCTTGACATTAATTGGTTACTTGATTATTTTTATGTGTTCTTGAATCTGTCTTACATATTACCAGTAATTTAAATGCGGAGCGATAGGATGTCAAGAGTCTGATGAGTAGTTTCTGGAGACTTAGCTTATCCTGCAGGATACATACTTTTATTTCAGTTGAGAGCTCGGTAAGATTCTAGATAGCTTCAACTAAGTAGTCTTATCACTTACCATAGCTGTAATCATTGTTGGCATCGTAGTTGCCACAGCAAATATATTGTCCCATTGCATTACTGTATTCGCAACCAAATCCCACTGAACAGGGATGATACATGCAATTCTTCACGACTCCAGACTCCCTTTCCACTTGTTGATTGGGTCGTTTACAGATAGCTGAACATGTGCTGATTATCCTTGCTGAACTGACCTTCATAGGGGAATAATTTACTATACTTGTAAAGACTCACGATTATCGTACTGAATATTGGAAGCGCAGAGTCCATTTCTGCAATAGGCGTTCGAAAGCTGGCATTGTGCCGAGTTCACACAGGGACCACCGACACCAGCAATCGGATAGCACGTGTTGCTTACCGATATCTCATTCGCAGCACAAGCTACAAAGAAAAGATCGAGAAGTCAAAGGAGAGGAGTTGATCTTACGTGATCATCGGGTTGCGCCAAGCAAATGACCCCCTTGTGGAGTAGAGATGATCTTCGAATTGGAGGGGCACTGGGCTGATGTACTGACTTGATGCCGAAAAGTGTAGTTTTTTTTACCGAGGATGAATGGGTATGAGTTGCAAGATTAAAAGGATATCAATCTCTCTCAGTTCAGAACAAACTGAATCTTGCCTTCGATCCTGTCATCTAACCTCTAAAAGCAGTACCATTTGCCAGTGCTCCTCCAACCAACCCCATATGTGTCGTTCCCGTTCGGGACGGTATTACCACCGAAATTTCTTCAATACCCCTCATATTACCCATCCCTGAGTTGTGACATAAAGCAAAGCCAACTGCCCACTTACGTTCTGTCTTTCTGCAGCAAAATCCGTTGGTGCATCTGTATCGAGAATCGAAACGGGCACAAAAAGCGTCATTATCGCATGGCGTTCCGGCGTTAAGATCGAGTGAACCAGCTGGACAGAACTGCTGTGCTCGAGAAGTCAGAAAGAACACTGCAAAAACATAATGACAATTGCCATTGAGGAAGGAACTACAGATCGGTTCAGCCTATTTCAGAAAACACTGATTGAGCTCGGAAAACAAGGGTGTGCATCGAGTTTGGAAGGCAGCCCTCCCCAGAAAACCTGCGAGCCAGACTATATTATTGTTAGTCAGTTCAGCTCCAGGGCTCGCTATTCTGATTCAAAAGAACTTTTACAGAGTCACAAGATCATGAAATGTTCTCTAGTCGGAACAGTAATCTCAAAAGTGAAGAAGAAGGTAAAAATTTGGATTACCTGTAATCCAGGTAAATACTTTGACTGCCATCACTCAAGACGACCTTCAACCTAGTTTCGGAGGTGAACGGAAAGATGATAATGCTCGGTATCGCTTTCACCAAGCCGGTTTTGCCGTCTGCTTTTCGTTGTGACTTCTACAAGCACACGAACGTGACGTGAAATCGTGACAACAAACAAAGGAAACTGAGCTGTGCCATGAGAATGTTTCCGGTTTCCTTTTCACCTATGACGATCCACAAAATACCATGCATGTGGGATTTCTTCACGGTTCTAGAGGATAAGGCATGAACTTCTCGACTCTAGCGAATCTCGTTTAGTACGCTCCTCCAGCACCCTCTGCTTCGATGTAAGAATCTTAGTGGTCCTTTTGCGTGCGTGAGCTTCAGAATCACTTACGATGGCCAGCCGACGTACAAATCTGGGTTTTTACCCTTCCGGGAGAATCTGGTACCAATTTACAAACCCTGGAGTGATGAACGGCTCTAGTGGCTTAAGTGGATATCGACCTAGGATTGAATTTCCGAACTGTGTCGTGTGTGACAAGGCACTGCTTGTCACTACAAAACCTTCCTCAACTTCCTATTTACATACAAGAATTTCAGGAATCTAACCCCATCGAATTTGAAAATACACTCCGACGGATCGGACAGGGACCAAAAAAAGTCCCTGGGACACCGCGGACCACTAATATGGCGAGTAAGAATCCACAGCGATAGAGGTGTTAATGAGTACACACAAATTCTTCAGAAGAAGAGCGTAACCAAACAAATCAACAATGCTGTTTTTGATTACCAGTCGTCCAACCTTCACATGTCCACGGACTAATTTTGAAAAATTCATGCAAAAATCCACATAATAATAGCTATAAAATAAAATATCTAGATCTATCTATCTGTAGCCAGTCCTTGATTAGCAGCAAACATCCAAAGATTGATGGAGTTCGTGCAGAACCCTGCAAAACCCAGTGTAGATTACTCTAACCTCGTGTTTCAAAAAAGTGTTGTGTCATGCTTATTGGGCTATTAGGCTACTGTTATTGAGCTTTTCCGTAATTTCAATATAGAATTACTGAAAATAGTGATAAATCAAAAGCTAGAACAATCAGAAGTTTGTCACTTCCCAGCCCATTAAATGTCCCATTTAAATTGCGGTGCGTGAATTTTTCCGCATAATCGAAATGTCTCTGGATGGGAGAAGAAGGTGAGGAGCGTAAAGGGGAGAGGGTAGTGGGAGAATGGGAATCCGTGAGCACGATGCTATACTTTTTCTCAACAGACTTCGGAGCAAAGCCAGCTGCAGTGAGGAGCTGAGAGAACTACTTCTTCAGAGTAATTCTGAAGCCCGGTCTCTCTCTCAAAATTTTCATTCACACACGTAAATGAGAAAATGGAAATGCTATTGTGGTTTCCACTGAGTCAGCGTAGTACACAGTTTCAGAAACGCCGATCTTGAAAACTGCTACCAAAAGACCGGATTTGTTTCGGTACAGTTACGAAGAACAACTTGCCAAGGTAAAGTCAAGCTGACGGGGAAGCCTGACGAGAAAAGCCCTTATGGACCGATTACACCTGAGAAGGCGAAGAGGGAGTCAAGTAGGACGAAGAATTCCCCCTGATAGAGGTATTTAGCACTGCTGAAAAAACTTGAAGGCATTGTTTACGATGAAAATGGCTCAGGAGATATCCCGCTAGGATAAATCTGTGGCCCCCTCATATACAGCATGTGGCGCTGTCAGGTCAGATAACGGCTTATACAGGGCATTTTAAGCTTATATTTTTTGGACATTTAGACATTATGCATCTGGGCATTTCGACACATAAAAATAGGGCCGCTTTAGCGGACCTTTATTTATGGTCCTGCTATGGGATTTATCCACGAAACCTTTCCCTGCTTGTTAGGCATTTCCTATATGGAGAACGCTTATGAACACGCATAAGTAACTGGGTATTTTCTCAAAATAGCGTAGCCCAGAATTCAGCGAACAATCTTGTTTACGAAGTTTGGAAATCTCACAGCTGGTCGTCGTTCCGCAGTGAACAGGCATCAACGATCAGGCAAACACGAAAGTTTTGCACCTGGTAGTTCTCTTTGTATTGGCCCCCGAAAAAGATGTTACTTTGAAATGTAACTATCGCGAAGGGCAGTACAGGGACACCTTTTCCTACTAATTAATCCATTGAGGTTGGTGATCAGGATTTCTTGTCCAGCAGTGGGAGAAAAAGGTGAGCCTTTTACGTCGAGATCTGTAGTAGCACGTGTCATTTCACTTTTTACACTGATGTTGAATCAAAGTTGAATCAGTTAACAAAGCACTTACAATCATCTTACTGGAGTCTATCGGGAACGCAAACACCGTTCTTGCAGTAAGCTCCTGGCGACTGGCACTGAACCGAGTAAATACAGGGGCCGCCGATATCAGAAATCGCGTAGCATGTCCCGTTGTTTATTGATATCTGGTTAAGACCGCAAGCTAAATTTGATTAAGTTCCAGTCAGAATATTCATAGTATCTAAATGTGCTTTGGGATGAAGGCCCCCGGAAAACAGCATTTGTTGGTGACTTTGGTCCTCAGCAGCTTTAAAGCACTGTAGGACCTTGTAAAGTGGCTGTACTGGAGTAATATTACTATTTACTGCTTCTAATAGTATATGTTAAGGTGAACCTACGTTTAGTCCTTCTACAACAGTAGCCGTCCGCGCATGTGTAGCTAGGATCCAATCTCACGCACACAGCATCATTTTTGCACGGATAGCTCGTCAAGGAGTTCGGCTTACAGAGGAAAGCCTGGCAAAAAGCAGGCAGCACTGAAAAGTACTACAGAAACACATTATCAAAGTCATCTCTTGCTGTTACCTCAGTATAATAGTTTACAAGGGTAGTAATCCTGGGCCTTGAGAGGTTTTCAGGTAGGACAACGGCTGCAAGAAACGGTTTCCGCATCAACTGAGAACTCAGAGGTTATAACGAATGGAAAGAAGCGGGTGCGCCACTGCCAAAATTCTGTTTCGCAGCTATGGAAATAGAAGGCTAAGTGACTTCATTGTACGCCGGAATAAAAAAGGGTTTTTTTTCGACAACCCAATAGGAAAATGACAGCAGCTGCTACCTGGTGAACCCAAACCAAAGCCGACTCCCAGACCAGACACCCACATGATGTAGGTTATGCTCTGCCTCATGCACCGTATAACCCAGGTCTTGCACCATCCGATAACCGCTTCTTCAGCGCAACTGTTCAAACGGGAAAGTATTCTATAACCTTGAGGAGAATAAGTTTTCTGGCTCTAGCTTACTTCCGCCGCAGTAGAAAGGGCGCTTCGGAAAGGCCTCTCTTCCAAATGCAATTAATCTCGATGAACAATATACATGGAATCGGGAACCCTAATCTTTGATCTTTTTATACCACAGGTAATTGCTGAAAAAAAGACGACAAATCCCACTAACCAAACTTATCCATATTTTCACTTGAAAAGGTACAAGGATAGTGCGATAGTATAGGCAGTATATTATGTTTGAATCAACCAATCGTTTTGTTTTGTTGAAAACTTCGTTTACCCAACACCAATCATTATTATTTATTGACCGTCAGCTGTTTGTGCTTTATGACTTGCTCTGAAATAGTAATTTTTGACTAGACTGGAACCAGGGATCAATAACAGTGGATTTCAACCTTTGGTCCTCAGTACACTCATTGAAGCTCAGCTATCACTGATTCTACCACAAGTTGAGGGCATTTTATACGGTTTAATAAATGGCTTTTATCAAATTTTCAATTGTATTGTAATCAAGTATTTATCATCAATATTTATTAATATAATATTTTGTGAAGAAACAATATTTAGGCATCAGTGATTGTAAGTAGAAAGCAAAAAGAAGTAAAAGTTCCTAAAATATACCTGTGATCCAGAGAAGGTTGTTTAGTATCACCATTGATTATACCCTCTGAGCTCTGCTCTAACCTGAAAACAGTGAGCTGTAAGCATTCACAATCCGGTTTCTTCTTTCGTTATGACGTCTGGAAGTGAATGTGGCCTTTGTTTCGTCAACAGACAGAACAACTTGAACACGAAAATCCTCTAATGTACGTGAACGATTTGCCTGCCAAGCGGTTTTATATTTCTTACGCGATCCAACATGCGAAACTCCCTCGAATGCTAAATATCAAGTAGGAAATGCTATCTCTAAATTGGTGAGCGCATGTGAATAAAGAGACGATGAGAACAGTGAGTCAATCAAACAAACGATGGAAGAGTAAGGCGTACGATGCCTCTCACGTTTCCCCTTTCCCCCTACATGTAGTGAATTTGAGCGCCATCTGCGCGCTTGATCTGCTCGCGCGGGAATAACAGTGAGACATCATGACTACCTCCATAATTTATTCCTTCAATGGGGCTAAAAGGAGGAGTCTTACTAAGGCATCCAAATTCTCAGAAGGCCCTTCGAGTCCGTTCGAGGCCGAAGTTTGCCCACAAATCGTTATCCTTGTGGCATTCTCAAAAGTGTCTCCGAAATACGGAACCGTATTCGACTTGTGTTGTGTAGGCTTACACTGGCCATAGAAAAATCACTCAGCCTTCCTTACAAAGAGGTTCTTTCAAGGCGTTTTTGAAAATGGTTTTTTGCATGATGTAGGGGCATGAGCACTGAGTACAGAACTANGTGTAGTTTTTTTTTACCGAGGATGAATGGGTATGAGTTGCAAGA